ATTTCTAGATATACGTTTTTCACCGGACGGAGGGAGTAACTCACGTATACAGTGCAGTAAAGAAGTCCAGAGGGAGACGTGTAGCTATAGCTTGGCAGCCACTCTAAGGGCCAGTTTTTTTGGGCAATTCTCTCAGAATTGACCCCTTCCTCAGCTTCTTCCAAAATTGTCACTTTATCTTTTTTTTACAATTCGTAGCTAGTTAAGATCTAATTAACTAGAAATTATAAAAAGATATTAAATGGCAATTCTGAAAGAAGCTAAAGAATGGGTCAATTCTAGAAGAATTGCCAAAAAAACTGACCCTAAATCTACTATATCAATGCACGGTACTAGTATATTCCCTACTAGCAATTCAGCTGGCGCGTGTGCATCATGAACGTGAAGATCGAGGCCAACAACCAACAATCAAGTCTCCCGCGCGCATGCATGAGGCCGACCGTTGAAATGGCCGGTGCCGCCGCGACGGCACAATGCATGCATTGGCTGGCCGTACGACACGTGGACGAGACTTGCATGTTCCCTCGTCGTGTGCCCATTCGTGTTTCCGTCTACGTGGCTTGATTTGATTGAAGCAAAATAAAATCTGGCCCCACCCCTTTAAAATCATGAGGGAAGATGATTAGATTAGAAAAAAAAGGTCTCGGTTATTCTAGGTAGTAATAAATTCCAAGCCACATGAAAAATACGCTACTGTAATATAAACTAATCATGTACTGCTGTTTGATTTGAGAGAGACCTTTCGTGTATCGAGGATCTCTTGCTAGTAGATTGTACAATTAAATAATTTTGAAATAAAACTCCTCTTTACCGTAAAAAAAGATAAATTATTTTGGCCCAAACCTTTTCCAAATATGCTCAACCAAGTCATTCTTGAGTACTTTATGTGTCGAACATTCTGGGATCTCAGAATCTCTTCGTAGTACCTGGGTGAAGGACACCGTGAGTGAATATCTCGGTGGTAAAGCGGTCGACGTGCTTGCAATCTTGTTCTAATCGATAATATCAGCCGCCTTATCATTTACATCAACGACTATCATATTATGAAGAATGACGCATGCATCCGTTTTTAATTTCTCATTAGCATACATGACATACCAAGATATTCAGGTTCGGTTATACAGGGAGATAACAAGTCAAATGATGCTTGTAAAGATTTGGGTAGTAATTACTGAAATCAAACAAACGAATGTGGCCACTATCACTGATCCATCGATCTGGAAGTGGATGAGCTACCGGCGGCCCCGGCGGAACTGATGTCCACTTGCGGCAGCGGCGGCGGTGCCGGTGCCCCTGTCCGTCTCTCCCTGCTTCTGTCCATTGGGGCACGCGAGGCAGCCAAAAATGAGCGGAGGGCCATCGGCGCGGTAAGTGGACCGGTACAGCGGCGATGGAGAGTGGTGGCGGAGGGTGGGTAGGCGGCAGAGGGATTGAAGATGAGGAGGATGGGGGAGGCGACAGTAGCCACACGGGATGCCAGTGAGTTTCTCCTCTTTAAAGGACTCCGTGTGGGACTTCATTGTTGACAAATACTTGAAGAATTTTAGGACCTGGATTGGGAATGTTGCATCTATCGGGGGCAGACTCACTCTGCTCACTTCGGTATTGTCGCAACTATCCCTGTACCACATGTCTATGTAGCTCATGAGTAAGACCTTTGTTGAAAAATTGGACAAATATCGTAGGAAATTTTTCTGACAAAGATGCAATAAGAAAAATTGTTACTACTTGGTTAAATGGAAGAGGGTCTGTAGACCGAAATATAAGGGGGGCCTTGGGGTTAAAGATCTCAGGAAGCAGAATATTAGCCTCATGGTGAAGTGGTGGTGGAAACTAGAAACCCATAATAGGGTATGGCAGGATCTGGTGAGAGCTAGATATTTGTCTAGCAAGTCTGTTGCGACAGTGACCCCAGATACTCAGACTCTTCATGTTGGAAAGCGCTTCTGAAAATAAAAGAGTTATATATGGTGGGGAGACGAATCAAACTGGGCGATGGTGACCTTACCAGGGTGTGGAAAGACCCTATAAATGGGCTTCCTCCGCTCAATTTGATATTTCCCCAACTATTTGAAATATGTACAGATCAAGACTTCACAATGAAGAAATTTGGCTATGCCATAGTCTGGACCTGTTTTAGGCGTCGTCTTTGCCCTGGTTTGAAGGAGCAATGGGGCAAGATGCGTGAGCAAGTCGCAGGGCTAGATATCTCTACTGATAGGGATATGGTTTATTGGGGGCTTGGTAAGAATGCTAGGTACTTCACCAAATCATGTACAAGTGGCTGGAAAAACCTCTCAGTGATTGCAATTATAAGTGGATCTGGGAAGCAATGCTTCCACTTAAAATTTAGGTCATCTTGTGGCAAATGGCTCAAGATGCAGTATTCACCAGATCAGTGATGAAAAGAAAAAAAATGGCCGGGAAACCCTATGTGTTCTTTCTGCAACAAGCTGGAAACAACTTCTCATTTGTTCTTCTCCTGCCATGTGGCACGAGTGGCCTGGAGGACCATTGGGGTGGTCTTAGGGACAGAGCTTTGCCCTAATAATATTTGGCAATACTGTATGTGTGATGTAATATGTTTCTGTCTAATCAGGGGCGGAGCCCAATGGGCCAACCCTGTAGCACAGGCTACAGGGTCCGATTTGTTTTTACGTACTAAATATCAAGTTTTTGGCCCAGGGCAACAGGGTAGGCCGGAAAGAGTGCTACAGGGCCCATAATACTAGGCGCGCCAGGCCTCCTTTGGTCCGCTTCCAGCAGCAACTAGTCAACGATCTATGTGGCTTCCCGTATAGCGAACAAAACAATCGATCCGAGAAAAAAGGCGTACCGCCGCGCACAGCGATTCGTTCGGCGACGTGTGCAGCGGCCGGCGGCGATCGGTCGATCCAGGGATTGAGAACCTGTGCAGCGGCGGCGGCGATCGAACCAAGACTCCAAGAGGCAAGAGCTAGCTAGTAGGTACTTCTACTGTAGCTGCTCTTTCTACAGGGTTCGATTTAAATTTTGGAATTGATCTATTCCTGAGTCCTGACGAAGTGACGATTCGAAGCAGCCCGTAGCACTAGCACGGATTCGTTCCTGTCTTCCTCGTCGATCCGAACGTCCGCATGGCAGCGGCAGCCGGCACCGGGGGCGTCGTAATTTTCTCTTCTTCTCTCTTAGCAATATATCAATGTGTTTTTGATTTTTTTTGTCTAGATTAAGGTCATCTATTGAGTCGAATTTACCCCTTATTTGTGTTGTTTGTCCTACATATTTTTGTATGTTGCCACAATTAAATCAATAAAATTGTTGCTAGCAGATTGAATGACCCGGGCAAGATAAAATTGATAGAACATTATCATCCAAAATCTGAAATATCTGGTAAGAAGGAAACACTTTCTGAGGCATTTTATTATGTTCTACTCCCTCCGTTTGTTTTTATAAGACATTTCGGGCAGCTTGCTTTGTACTGTTTTGTATAGTGTCTGAATGTCTAAACGTCTTATAGAAATGAACAGAGGTAGTACTTGAAACTGTAATTCTAATTTTGTTATTGTATGTTATTGAGCCTTGGTGTCTCATAATGTGTTTTGGAATTTGAGAATGCAAGACATCCTTTTCAATACATTTTGTCGTTTATTTTAGCATTATATTGAGCAGTGTGACTATTGGATTGTTTTTAACCTTTTATAAATCGACTTCTATTATGTTTGGTAGTCCGTGTTACAAGCTATGAAACGCACATTTGTTTAACACATCGGTTGCTAGATTTTTTTTTTTTGCAATGGTTAAGTGGTGCATCAGGGTAAGATTAGCTCCAGCTCCGCCCCTGGTCTAATGGGTTCAGATTTTACACAGTGGGTTTGACTGCTATAACTTGGGCTATATGGTTGACACTTAAGGCTGGTCGTAATGGTAGTATCATAGATAGTATCATGCATGTCAACTAGACAATTTTGATGATGTGTCATAGCATTAAATGAAGAAAGAGAGGGTGTAGTATCATATCATGATACTGTATCATAATAAATGCTATGCTATTTTGTGTCATGCATGGCAATAAATAGAGTACTACATGAAAATAATATACGATACTATGCAATAGGGATGTAGTATCATACACCAGTATCATATGCATGATACTAGTATATGATACTCCACATTACAACCAGTCTAATAGAACTACCTTTAAGAAAAAGTTGATTAAATCCTTTTGAGATTGTGTTCTCGGCTTGTTTTTTTCTTTTGTATTGGGCAGGGAGGAAGCGGTGAAGCTACGTCAAGGAAGCTACGTCAAGGAGCCGAGATGATCAAATCAAACACGACCAGGCTGATGACGATATGCGAGAAGGCTAGACGCACAGTGGATGACACTGGAGAAGTGCTCCCTTGGTGATTGATGTTGCGCTTTGTCATGGCTTCCTGCTTCAGATGTCTTTGCTGGAATATGTCTAGTTATCCTGTTATTTTTGTGTCTGGTTTTGTAATCTCTTAAAACTAAGTGGTGCTGTCAGGTTTTCGCCTCACAGTGCTTGTTTTGATGGCGGGCGGGTATAGTGGGTTCTCTGGCAGTGCGTTGAACTCGCTACCCTCTTTCTCTTCTTCCTGGTTATGTCTGGAACTGTACTATTTTCGTTTCATGCAAATGGAGAGGGGTAGATCCGGTAAAAAAAAAAGCCACACGGGATCAGCGAAGTAATTGCGGTGCGTGAAACTCGGCGGCGCCGGCGCAATGCATGCATTGGCTGGTCGTACGCACGTCTGTCTCGGTTATTAACTCCGCGGTGTTCAACCCAAAGCAGCAGCCTGGCTAGCTAGCTTCGTTTCCCAAGCCGTCAGTAAATTATGGACGGCGCTACGTCGTACGAGTATCTTTGCTTTGCTGCGCCGGCGTTTAGTTTGCCAAGGGAACCTGCTACTAGCAGTACTATAAGTACGCACTCCCGGTGGATGGTGCAAGTCAAGGTAGTAGCAGCAAGGCCTGAGGCAGGAAGAAACACAAAGGCGCCATGGCGTGCTTTCGGATTCGTTCAAGCGCTGCAGCTGTGGTCGTCGTCACCATGCTCCTGCTCCAAGCTTGCTTTGAAGGTAATCAAATGTAGTACGTACGTAAGCTTAGATCCGCATGCATACTAATTCTTCATCTTTTGCTCACTTGTTTTGCTCTGCCAGTTTCAGCGTCTTCCTCGCTGCAGCAGCATCCGCATCAGTCGCGCAAGATGCTCAGCGTCGATGCATCTTCCGTGTCATCGAGCGGCGCCGGAGGCCCCTCGGCGGAGCCGTTGGAGCTGGAGGAGTGCTCGGAGGACCTCCTGGAGGTGTTCCAGAACAACGCGCCGAGCATGGCCGGCGGCATGCCGACGTACAGCGTGGAGTTCACCAACACCTGCATCGACTGCGCCGTGTGCGACGTCCACGTCGCGTGCGGCGACTTCGCCTCAAATGACGTCATCGACCCAGACAAGTTCCGCCGTCTCGGCTTCAACGACTGCCTCGTCAATGGCGGCAGGTCCATCGAGCCCAGCTTCCCTGTGTCGTTCCAGTACGGCAACTCCTTTCCCTACCCGATGACAGTCGCGTCCGCCTCCTGTGACTGTAACTAGCTATATATGGCTAGGGTACGAATGAAGCTATCTATTTTCGTTGCAAATAAAATCAAGTAGAGCTCGGCTACCGGCTTGTGGTCTAATCTTACTTTTGGAGTTACTGTTATCTACTATCAGTGTATATGGCGTCGAGGACTAGGTGAACCGAGTCCAATGAAAAACATTTTAAAGTTCTCCCATTTTAGTAAATGTCAGTCAGCCTTCAATCCCTATCTTTGTCCTTATATTTCACGCAGTATAAGGCGATGAGCAAGAGGGAAGAATGATAAGAAAATGATAGGCTAAAAAATGTTTGAGAAAATCCATCATTAGTTGGATAAAGTCGACTGGACGTGAAGTTCCCGTGCTCCTCCCGATGGATTTATTGCACCATAATTAAAAACGCAGAAAAAATTACCTACATGGGAATCAAACCTGCGTCAGGTTGGAAAGGACAAGCCCAAGTACAAAGCCAAACAACCATCACGCCAACCTAGTTTGTTGTTCACTAGTTGAAAACGAAATTATTTTAAACTCTTTCTTACTACTGTCATAAGAAAAGAGGAAAGCTATTTTTCTGGAAAAAAATTCACTTCATCAATGAAAGTTACCGGGGGTATATTTCATGATGCCCCTCCCTCCCCCACCCTGGTCCCCAAAGTTATCAAGACCAGGGTATACAAGTTATCAGGTCTGCGAGGCATGAGTTACCGTGCTATTAACATGAAAGTTACCGTGGGTATATTTAATCAACCCCCTCTCCAATGTTACCAGGGCCGGGGTAAAGAATAAGTTATCATGTCTGCAAATGTGTGGGTTACCATGCTATTCACACAAATGTTACCGGACCCCCGCCCCCCACCCTCCTCATGCCAAAGCTATCAGGACTGGGGTACATAAGTCATTATGTGTGCCTTGTGTGAGTTACCATACTATTCAC